AAGACAGTATGGTGCTGGCACAAAAACAGACACATAGATCAATGCAACAGAATAGAGAAGCCAGAAATGGACCCATAAACGTATAGCCAACTAATCTTCAACAAAGCAGGAAAGAATATCCAATGGAAAAATGACAGTTTAGCAAATGGTGTTGGGAAAACTGGACAGTGACACGCAGAAGAATGAACCTGAACCACTGTCTTACACCAAATACACAAAAAGTAACTCAGAATGGATGAAAGACCTAAATGTAAGACAGGAAACCATCAAAATCCTACAGGAGAAAACAGGCAACAACCTCTTTGACCTAGGTTGCAGCAACTTCTCATTAGACATGTCTCTAGATGGAAGGGAAACAAAAGCAAAAGAATGAACTGCTAGGACCTCATCAAGATAGAAAGCTTCTGCACAGTGAAGGAAACAATCAATAAAACTAAAAGGCAACTGATACTATGGGAGAAGATATTTGTAAATGACATATCAGATAAAGGGTTATTATCCAAAATCTACAAAGACCTTATCAAACTGAACACCAAAAAACAATCCAGTGGCAGAAGACATAACACTTTTCCAAATAAGACATTCAGATAGCTAACAGACCCATGAAAAGGTGCTCAACATCGCTCCTCATCAGGGAAATAGAAATCAAAGCCACAATGAGATACCACCTCACACCTGTCAGAATGGCTAAAATTAACACCTCTGGAAACAACAGATGTTGGCAAGGATGTAGAGAAAGGGGAATATTTTTGCATTGCTGGAGGGAATGAAAATGGGTGCAGCCACTCTGGAAAACAGTATGAAGGTGCCTCAAAAAATTAAAAATAGAACTACTCTATGACTCATCAATTGCACTTACCAGGTATTTATTCAAAGCATATAAAAATGTTGATTCAAAGGGGCATATGTCCCCAATGTTTATAGCTATATTATCAACAACAGCCAAATTATGGAAAGAACCCAAACATCCATCGACTGACAAATTGATAGATGTACACGTGTACACACACACACACACACACACACACACACACACAGAGGAATATTAGTTAGCCATCAAAAAGAATGAAATCTTGCCATTAGCAACAACGTGGATGTAACTGGAATGTACTAAGCAAAATAAGTCAGTCAGAGAAAGATAAATATCATATGATTTCACTCATTAGTGGAATTTAACACAAAAGATGAACACAGGGGAGGGAAGGAAAAATAAGATAAAAACTGAGAGAGAGGCAAACCGTAAGAGACTCTTAAATACAGAGAACAAACTGAGGGTTGCTGGAGTGGTGTTGGGTGGGGGGTGGGCTAAATGGGTAATGGACATTAAGGAGGGCACTGGTGTTGTATGTAAGTGATGAATCACTAAATTCTACTCCTGAAACCATTATTACACTATATGTTAACTAACTTGTATTTAAATAAAATTAAAGAATAAAAATAAAATAAAACTAAGTTTATTTATTTGAGAGAGAGTGAACGAGCGCATACATGAATGGAGGAGAAGCAGAGAGAGAGAGAGAGAGAGAGAGAGAGGATCCCAAGCAGGCCCTGCACTGTCAGCACAGAGCCCAACACAGGGCTTTAACTGACACACCGTGAGATCATGACCTAAGTTTAACCAAGGGTCAGTTGCTCAACCGAATGAGACACCCAGGTGCCCCAATGGTGCTCTTCTTTTAAAATAAAGTAGTAGGCTAAGGGTGCCTGGGTGGCTCAGTTGGTTAAGGATCCAACTCTTGATTTTGGCTCAGGTCATGATCTCGAGGTTTGTGTGTTTGAGCCTCACATTGGGCTCTGCACTGACAGTGCAGAGTCTGCTTAGGATTCTCTCTCTCTCTCTATCCCTCTATGATCCTCCCTCACTCACGTGTACACACACACTCTCTCTCAAAATCAATCAATAAACTTAAAAAAAAAGTAAGGATTTAAAAACTAAAAATGAAGGAGTAGGCTAAATGCTATAAGGTTCCTTCAACAACCTACTATGAAGCCATGACTCTGAAATTCTGCATTTTTATTTAAAACAACACTTCTACAAGGATAGGGAAGACTTTGACTTTATGGTTCTAGTTGGCAGTAACCCAATAAGGAAGAACCAGGAATATTTTTGTGCACTGACCATATTAATTAAGTAAAAAAGACACAGAAAAACAGAGAGGGCAGTACTGTCCTACTGGTCAGACTATACCTAGAATACTGAATTTTACTAAAACATTAAAAAGAAACAGTACTTTGAAGTTGTGAAGTAATGACGCCTGAGGAATAGTTAATGAACAGAGGATATTTACTCTAAAGAAAAGAGTCAGGAGGGCCCTGACAGTTCTCTTTATGAATGCAAAATAGAAGAGGGGGTAAAAGTTGTTCCAGATGCTTCCAGAAGGCAAAATGAGAATCAGCAAATAACCTGTAAGTAGAGTGATTTCTATACAAACTTAGAAAGAACTTTCTAAAACCTAACTAAAATTAAACAGGCTTGAGAGATTAAGCTTATAGTAGAGGTGTTCAAACAATGGCTATTTGTTAAAGAAGTTATATAAGGAATTCAATTTAGAAAAGTGTTGAATGAAATGAATTCTATAGTCCTTAAGTGTATAGACTCCTTTGACCTTCATATCCGTTTCCCAAAACAAAACGAACTATGACCTTAACATTTAACATATTTAAATATTTGCTGTCTGTGATTGGTAGAGTTGAATGTGTGCATACACACACACACACACACACGCACACACACATGCACACACACACACACACTTAACTTTATCACGGTAAATTTTTCCTAATTTCTTACTACAGTGTCACCAAATAGCTGTCTTACCATATAAGACATCTGTAACATCAAAATCAGCTTAGGTGAGTCAGAATTACTGCAGTTAACAAGCAGAGGTATAAGTCACACGGTTTTTCTAAAGTTCAGACATATTTCAGGCACTAATAGCATATTGTTACAGTGGTTTAGGTAGTCAAAGAAAGAAAACACTTGCTATTTTTTTAAACTGCCAAGCAAAATTAAATTTAAGGAGAGCAAGCTACTTTGAAAAGAATTTGGCTAATGAGAACTATCTTAAATTTTAGATGAGAACTGAAAAACATACTAGATAACCCCCTTCACTGTTCTGATTAAACCATGTCCAAAATAAAACATGCATACCTTTGTTCATCTCTATGCTTAATCTTTACTATAATTTCAAACTTTAGCTTTTATTTCTTTTCTAAAATGCCAGTGAGCTTCAACAGACAAATTTGTGATTTTCAGAACACCAAAAAAGAAATTCTGAGCGAATAAAAATTTGTATTTCACGAGGTTAATGACATTATCCAGTTTCAATTCACTTTATACACCTTGGTTTTGGAAGCATTCACTTCTTTAATTCTGTGTTAACCTTTATACACTCATTATCTTGTTTATCTTTGATATTCATAAATATCAAGGCTGAGGTATTCAAAATACCATAAGCTATTTCACAAAGCATTAATTAATGTAAGTCAACAATCACTTATCTGAAATCTTTGGAACCAGATGTGATCTGAAATTCAGATTTTTTTTTAATCACAAAGGGTAATACAGAGCACATACAGTTTATTACATAATACCTCCAGTGGTGCCTGAGGCATCATCCTGTAGTCAAGCACACTGATATTTTCACAGCAAAGCATAGGAATGTGCATGTGAAGTGGAATAAATAAGGACTATAAATAGCATTCTGTGAAATACAGTGAGGTTAAGTTGAGAATAGGATGAAAAAAAACTTTTGGGTTTTAGAATCATATATAAAAGATTGTGGATGTTCTAGCCTCAACATGCATCATGAGTAAAACTGGAAAGTGTTCACATTTTCATACATACATGTTTAATAATCTCAGTCTTATCCTATAGCCTTCTTTTCTCATCTATTATCTCCCCTCAAAATTCCCTCTGCTACCAATATTTAGTGAACTGATAACATAGGAGGAATATCAAAATCCTATTGGATATCCACTACTTAAAAGTATACTGATAAGAATGTTAATTCCATTTGTGAAATGTGTTTATACATGAGACAATAACTACTCTAAGCAAATTAATATGGTATGCAAATTCCATTAATTTGCATAGTTTACCAAAGTTTTTAGAGATGTCCACTCAAATGCAATAGAATCTTTAAGAGCTCTATACAACCATTAAGACTATACTGAATCCTAACTCTTAAAATATTTCATAAGTTTTATATACATGGTAACTAAGAACTGGCCATGTCTCAGCTCTGTGACAGTCAGACCATACTCAGAAAAAGATTCTTTTTTATGATACTACTGAATAGTAGGAAGAATGGTGAGTGGCCTTTAAGTCAAAATATAGGGGTCTGAGGGGCGCCTGGGTGGCTCAGTCGGTTAAGCATCTGACTTCGACAGCTAGCTCAGAGCCTGGAGCCTGTTTCAGATTCTGTATCTCCCTCTGTCTCTGACCCTCCCCTGTTCATGCTGTCTATCTCTCTCTCTCTCTCAGAAATAAATAAAACATTAAAAAAAAAAAGATAGGGGTCTGAGTGGTAGGCTTATTATCTACTAGCTGTGAGACCACGGCAAGTTATTTGACTTTTGTGAACTTCAGTTTCCTTGTCTATAAAGCAGAGATAATGAAATTAACTTGAAGAATCATAGTGAGGATTGGATATAAAAAACATAAAATACAAAGAAGAATAACAAGTACACAGAATAAAAATAAGAGAAATACAAATATTTCAAATAGAGAATTATAAAAATTAAAATGCTTTAAATTAAAATGTTCTGATACTTTCTTTATATATACACTAACCTAAGAGATGCATATATACTCTTCATATATACCCCTAAAACACAAAAACTGATTTTCTTTATATTATTGTAGAAAACTTTACAACTTTTTAAAATGAAATCTGCAACCTTAATGCCTTTACAGTTTGTATAGCTAAGTATAATAAAGGAAGAATAGTTGAGGGAAAATATTCAATTTGCTGCTGCAATAAAGGAAAAATACTTACTCAATTTTCTGCTGTAGCTGTTCAGAAAGCTTTTTATTTTCTTCCTGGAGAGTATTCTTTTCATTCACTTAAACATAATATGAAAAAGAAGCACACATTATAGCTATATTAACATGTATGTCAGGCTTTTTCTATAGTACCAGTAAATACAGAGAAATCAGGATTTCTAATTCTAAGTCGTAATGTTAGAGTTCACATTATTGTGCAAGACTAATGTTACTAGGTAGTGATTACTACATCTCATATTGTGCCAGTTCCATGTAACTGATTAACTGATAATTTTATTTTATGCTTGTGGGCAAAAAGAAAAAGTACCTCATGTACTGGGGAATATAGTTTAATTGTTCATACTAAGGTCAAGAGAGCATTCCATCTGTTAGTCAGTCTTACTAATTTCGAATACCATTTTAGTAAAAGACATTTATCTTGAAATAAATCTGATAATAAAAGACTAACACTGAATAGCAGTGTAATTTTATAGCATAAGCAATTTCTTCCTTAGTTAATTATGGTATCAGTAATTTAAATATATCCATTGAAATAGTATTTGTTTCAATCTACCCTGACTAAATTTTCTTGTCCATACTTACTTAATTTAGAAAGCAGAAATTCAATTTTAGGTTATAATTTCTATTGCAGTCAGCACAAAATTATTTATAAACACAGAGTGTGATGTCACTGCTTAAGCATGTACTCCACTAGGAGGAATATCTAAAAGATCACAGTAAATAGAACTAATCTCTACAAAACAAAGTTAATCATATTCCAAAAATTTATTAATAATTTAGTGGTTTACAAAGTTAAACATATTTTCCTTTGTTACTGAGTAAATAAAATTTGTTTGGCTATCCGTAATACATGAGGTTACTGAACTACTTCCTGTGAAGGATCTAAAAAAAAAAAGATACAGTGATCTAAACAAAAGTGCAGTCTAATGAGAGACTAGATATTACATAAGCATGTTCTATGCAACTGAAAGTGAGAAGGGTATTACAGAGGTACAGATAAAAGACTAAAGGAAATTCCAAGGAGGAAAAAGGTTACTTTGGGCTCTTGAGAAGATGAGGAATGGATTCATCATGGAGAGGACAAATGAGCTGGACAGAGTTCTATGCAGAGAATTAAGGAAACAAAGTTATTAGAAAGAAAGATTGGGTATAATAAATGATAGGAAACCTTCAAAGCCAGGTTAAGAATTCTGAACTTCATTTTAATATTTTTTTTGAAGTTTATTTATTTATTTTGAGAGAGACAGAGGCAGTGTGAGTGGGAGGGGCAGAGAGAGAGGGAGGCAGAGAATCCTAAGCAGGCTCCATGCTGCTAGCACAGAATCTGATATGGGGCTTGAACTCACAAAACCATGAGATCATGACCTGAGCTGAAACCAAGAATTGGACGCTTAGCCAACTGGGTCACATAGGCGCTCCTCAACTTCATTTTATTTTATTTTATTTTTATTTTTATTTTTTACAAATAGTTTATTCTCAAATTGGTTTCCATATAACACCCAGTGCTCATCCCCACAAGTGCCCTCCTCCATGCCCATCTCCCCCCTCCCCCCCACATCCATCATTCCTCAGTTTGTCTCTCAGCATTCAAGAGTCTCTCATGGTTTGCCTCTCTCCCTTTCCCCCACCATTTCCCCCCTTCTTCTCCCCTGAACTTCATTTTAAAAGATTACCAGGTGTCATTTTTCATACATGGATGATGGGAAGATTGATCTGTTAGTATGTATAGCACATACCAAAGTGAGAAAAAAAGCACTAGTAAGTCAGGTGATCACTGAAATAAGAAATTAGTATCTGGACTATTGTGAAAGGTATAGAAATAAGAAGTGAAGACAGGTAGAAGAGCTTTGACAGAAGCAGAATCAGTAGTTATTTGGCAACTCATCCTGTGTATGACGAAGAAGTCAAAAATGACCCTACATTTCTAATTAAGATGGTTTACCTGACTCTTCCTCTCCAAATCCCAATGAAATGATAAAACAACTCTAAAAATAAGTCAACTGCAATACTGAAAAGCCAGAATGGGTGGCACTAGCAGATCAGAACTTTGAAAAAATTCACAAATGATTTAAAAATAGATGGTCTCAGATTGACGTAAAATCCAACCAAATAAAGGGCCTTTAAATTAAAAAAAAGTGAGCTTTTTCAGTAGAACCTCATGTTTATTCCAGTCTAGGCAGCAAAGCCCAGAAGTTGCCGAACAAGCAAATAAATAAATAATAAATTAAAAAATAATAAAAACAAACAGTTGCCCTTAAAGTAAAGCCAGGAGGATAAATTTCTACAAGTTTTAACACTGGAGAGTCTATTGTCTCCTGAGACAAGGAGATCAGGGCAGTGCTCTCAATTAACTTATATAGTAATCACTAGAGAGGGCATTCCCATACCTAGAAGACTATCTATTCGTATACCCTACAGAAAATCTCTCTAGTAAAGTTTCCTTCTTTCCCACACTATGTCATTGGGGTAGGGCTTCTGTAAATCAGACTGCGTTTACTATTAGCAAAGTAGGGATTCTTCCTCCGGTTAAGGAAATGAGACTGCATTTAACAAAATCATCAATTTAGGGACATCTACAATTACAGATAATCAAAAGTTGACAAACACATAAAAAAACAAAACAACGCAAACAAACAAACAAACAAAACACCGTAATTTTTAAAAGAATTAAAAACCAGTCAAGGGATGCCTGGGTGGCTAAGCGGGTTGAGCTTCTGACTTAGGGTCAGATCATGATCTCAGGGTTCGTGAGTTCTAGCCCGCATCAGGCTTGCTGCTGTCAGCATAGAGCCCACTTCAGATCCTGTCACCCACTGTTTCACTCTCTGCCCCTTTCCTGCCCAGGCTCTAAAACAAAACAAAACAAGACAAAACAAGGCAAAATAACAGTACAAAAATTCTGGATAAGTAGTTTTAATAGGAAACAGAAGATCTGATAACATCTTCAGATTTTTTTTTTTTTTAAATGTTTTATTTATTTCTAGGAGAGAGAGAGAGAGACAGCGTGAGCAGGGGAGGGTCAGAGAGAGAGGGAGTCACAGACCGAAACAGGCTCCAGGCTCTGAGCTGGCAGTCAGCACAGAGCCCGATGCGGGGCCCGAACCCACGAACCGCGAGATCATGACCTAAGCGAAAGTCGGACGCTTAACCGACTAAGCCACCCAGGCGCCCCAACATCTTCAGATTTCAAAGGGTGATAGGTTCATTAAAAACAAGAAAGAGGCTGACATGAAAGAAACAAAGGTTATAAAAATTAAAAGCATAATAAGTGGGATGAAAGTAGAATGTGACTGAAGACAGAATTAATATCCATCTAGGTGATTCTCCCAGAATTCAGCACAAGAGAATAAAGTCACAAAGTATAAAGAAAAATTAGGCAGCATGGGAAGACCACAGCATCTTGCTAATCTGAGTTCCAGGAGAAGAAACAGAGAGAATGGAAAGGAACAAACATTACAAACAAACACACAAAAAAACAGAAAAAAATTTTCTTGGGCTAAGTGAACACTTTAGGGTCGATAAGTGAATTAGATATACTAACAGTAATCTTACTACAAAGACAACTAGATCCTGCACAAAAACGTAATTTTTAGTAGACTGCTGAACTCACAGGAAGAGAAATCCAGGGGACTTCCATGTCACTGCTTTAATCATCAACATAAACAAAACAAAACTATGAGCTAATACACAGACAATATAGATAAGTAGATGTTGGTACCAGTACTGGTAGGGGGATTGAACCTGAGATTTCCATCCTATATGTCTATTTTACATATAAAAAAGAAACCCCCACTCTCATCAAAAATAAAAGGAAACATCACACACACACACACCCTATTTGCCACCACTGCAGGTAACTGTTACACAAGATCTTACCCTGAAACTAGCAGTTAAAGGGAAAAAATTAAGATGTATCACGTCTTTCTAGTAGGAACTATATTCCAAGCTAACCAACAGTCCCAATTGATAAGGGTGAAATCTTATTACAGAAAAATTCCAGCTAATAAATGTGGAAAGAATAACAGAAATGAAAATTTAGCATTTTATAATCTCTAATTAACTAATTCAGGCAAGGCTCACCAATGGATGCTAAGACCATTAAAGAAAGACTGAGGGAGAACTGTATTTTTGCAAGATTTCATAGTATCAAACATCTACCACCCTATTCAGGTTATTTGGTGGTATAAGGAGAAAATATAGCTCTATAATAAAGAAACATGGCCATCACCTTAACCCAGTGATCAATCTTAGAATCCCTAAGAGCAGAATAACTTGACAATACCGGTCTCCTGATACGATGCAATACGAAGCAGACAGTTTTAGTTATGAAGTATTGCGGTCAAAAATGCTTAATATAGACCTAATCAAGCTTTCAGATCGAATATCTACTTTATAGGAAAGAAAGGAAAAGATAAAATGTTTTAAAAAATCCAAAAGGTGGCAAAATTTTGGAAAATGACCCTACTTCAAGAAGCTAATGTCATGAAAGAAAAAAAACAAACAAACAGGAAAGGGAGCTATTCCAGATTAAATGGAATGTATATGAGAGTTCTTTAGTATTCTCCCTATCTCTCTGCATTTTTTAAAACATTTCATTAAAAAAAAGAAGAACGGGAGGGGGGTGCGCCTGGGTGGCTCAGCTGGCTAAGTGTCCGACTTTGGCTCAGGTCATGATCTTGCAGTTTGTGAGTCTGAGCCCCACGCAGGCTCTATGCTGACAGCTTAGGGCCTGGAACCTGACACCTTAGAGCCAGGGGTACCTGGCTGGCTCAGTTGGTAGAGTGTGCAACTCTTGATCTTGGGGTCATGAGTTTGAACACCACATTGAGTCTACTTACAAAAAGGAAAAAAGACAACTAGGCAGACTTGAAAATGAACCAAATAGAATTTTTAGGAATGAAAAATTTGGTTACCAAAATAAAACAACTCAGCACAAGAGAACTACTGGAGTGCTTGGTATAATAAATAAGAGAGCTAAAGAAATTGTTCAGAATGTAGCAGAGAGAACCAAAGACGATGAAAAACAGGGAAGGGATATCAAGTGTACAAAGGACAGAATGATGAGGTCTCATCAGAATCCCAGAACAGAGAATGAAGAAGACACAATATTTGAAAAGCTAGTAGCTGACAGTTTTCCTGTATGATTAAAGATGTGATTCCACAGGGACACCTGGCTGGCTTAGCTGGTAGAACATGCAACTCTTGATCTTGGGTCATGAGTTTAAGCTGCACACTGGCTGGTAGAGATTACCTCAAAATAAAATCTAAAAAAAAAAAAAAAAAAGAAACGTGGTTCCATAGATTTTATAATATATACTAAACAGAATTGGTTTTGAAAAAAAAAACTGGTTAAAACTGTACTAATATTATAGAACACCAAAAAAGAAGGAAAAAAATCTTAGTAGCAACCAGAGAAAAATGATTGTTGCCCTGTAAAATAGCCTTACAAAAGTATAAGTAAAATAAAAACATTTTTGGATAAAAACTGAGAGTTCAGAATCAGCAAATACCCTCATTATGTATCTCAGAAAGGATAATAATCCTAGAAGGAAATGGAAGTGCAAAAAGCAATAATAAGCAAAGAAACTGATAAACATGTAGTTAAGTCTTTTAAAACTGTCTTAGTAATTTTTAGAAAAGTTTCTAACTAGGGCGCCTGGGTGGCTCAGTAGGTTAAGCATCCAACTTCAGCTTAGATCATGACCTCACAGTTCATGGGTTTGAGTCCCGCTTTGGGCTCTGTACTGACAGCTCAGAGCCTAGAGCCTGCTTCAGATTCTGTCTCCCTCTCTCTCTTTCCCTCCACGACTCATGTTGTCTCTCTCCCTCTCTCAAAAATAAATAAACATTAGGGGCGCCTGGGTGGCTCAGTCAGTTAAGCATCCAACTTCAGCTCAGGTCATGATCTCACAGTTCGCGGGTTCAAGCCCCGGGGCGGGCTCTGTGCTGACAGCTAGCTCAGAGCCTGAGGCCTGCTTCAGATTCTTTATCTTCCTCTCTCTCTGACCCTCCCATGCTCATACTGTGTCTTTCTCTCTCAGAAATAAACAAAACATTAAAATTTTTTTAAAATAAATAAATAAACATTAAACAAAATTTTTAAAAAAGAAAAGTTTCTAGCTTATAAGGCTAAAAAAAAGGAAATAAATGCTAGGCATAAACAGTATGTAAGTGGAGAAGGAGGTGAGCAGAGTTAAGGTGTTTTAAGGCCTGTATATTATTCAGAAGATGGGCAAGATATAAACTTTATATTAGGAATGCATGGCAAAATTTCAAGGTTGTGGGTGCCTGGCTGACTCAGTTGGTAGAGCACATGTCTCTTGATCTTGGCGTCGTAAGCTGAGCCCCATGTTGGGTGTAGAGAGTACTTAAAAATGAAAATAAAAAAGAGAGAAGGGGAAAAAACAAGGGAAAGAGACACAAAGATAAACCTAGACCTAGAAAAACACATTATCAGATTGTTAATAGTTGTTACCCCCAGGAAAAGAATAAAACTGTGTTCTCTAATCGAAACAGTGAGGATATATTCATTTATTCTTGCTTGAGTAACCAGAGGATAGCTAGATAATTAATAGAAAGAAAATAGAATACAGAAAAGAAGATAAATTAATTAGATTTTGGATGTGGTCACTGTGAGTTGTTTATAGAGAATCAAGGTAAAGATCACTAAGAGAGTATATAAATAGTTAGAAGAGAATAAGGTTAAGGGAGGTATTAGAAGAGAAGGTTAAGAGAAGGCTAACAATATAAGGAACCCCACATTAAATGTGTAAGGAGACTAAACTGAAAATGATATACCTGTAATGTATGTCATGAAAACCAAAGAAAGTATACACTTTTGCAAAACACTAAATTATACTTTTTGTATTTAACTTACTAAATATTAGCCAAATTACATGAAATAAAGATAAAACTAAAGAAGCAAATGTGGACATAAGCAAAGAAAATTACCTTCTTGTCTTATAGTGAGAGTTGAGGGCCAATGTGGACAGTGTTTAGATCACTTTTTTGTACCCTAATTTTTACTAAAATAGGTTTGAAATTAAACCTACAGACATTTGAACTTTTGCCTACATAAGGAAAAATGTATGTAAACCATCCATTCAATTGCAACCAATTTAATAATAGGTTTTAACAACAGTACATTATGCTTTAAATACTTAATAAAGAAAGGAAACTTACTAAGCTCTGTGATAAGTTTAAGATTCTGCTGCCGGATATTTTCAAACTCTTGCTGCTTTTTTCGCATATGCTCTTCAGTTACTGCACAGCGATCACATAATCCTGCTCTTAATCTAGGAAACAAAAACAAAATATTTTTAGAGTAGAACTTAAATGTTCTCTCTAAAAAATATATGAGACAACCACTATGTTAATTAATCGGATGGTGGGAATTCTTTCATGATGTATGTACATTTACCAATTCACCATTATGTACACTTTATTTTACAATTTTATTTGTCAATTGTACCTCCATAAAGCTGAAATTCAATTTTTTTCAACTACTAAAACATATTTCCTTATATTTGAACTCCAAGACTTTTATACTTTATAAGATGTAAATATCTGACTTGGCAAATATAGAGAAAATTAACTAGTTTAATAGTGTATTATACCTTTAACATATTCTCGAATAGGCTGAAATCATGCCACAACATCACTTTCTACAACAGACTGCAATTCTGAGTGGAATTTTAGACATGCAATGACTCTTTGAAAATTTGTTTTGTGAAGTGCACTTTTCAGCAGTTACTTGAGGGTGAGCTATAACAAAATGAGCATGAAAAACCAATAAAAAGGAAAAATAGGCCCACATTTTATCAACCATGTTCACTGATATATCTTTAGGGTCTAAAATAGTGCCTGGCAGGAAGCAGGAAGCATAATGATTTGCAGACTAACATGAAAGACATAATGGAATTAATGTAATAGGGATCCAGTGAAGAGAAATTCCAGAATGGAGCTATAGAAAAACCGAGAAAGTAAATGGTCCAAATTAGTACAGAAAGGTTTTCATCCCAATAAATATACCTTCAAGAATAAGAACAAAAAAGATGATAATCAATAAATAGAATAACACTTTACATAGTATTAATGACATGGTAAGGAAGACATGTTTCTTATTCAATATGAAAAAAAAAAAGTAGTTAGAACTTCTGGGAAAAACACAGGAAACTCATATAAATATGTCCTTGACATATTATAATTATGGGCTGATTTGACCAACTGATTTGAAACAGAGTAGAAAAGAACGTATGTGACTTGGACATTAGAAAGTCTCCTGGGGCACGTGGTGGTTCAGATGGTTAAGTGTCCAACTCTTCACTTTGACTCAGGTCATGATCTTACGGTTCATCGGTTCAAGCCCTTTATCAGGCTCCATGTTGACAGTGCGACGCCTGCTTGGGATTCTCTCTCTCACTCTGCCTCTCCCTAGCTCTCTCTCCAAATAAATAAATAAACTTAAAAAAAAAGTCTCCTGGAGTGGCACAGAGGTCATGACATTGGATCTACAGAGAAGGAAATGCTATTCTGTCTTAACAGAGAATATTTAGAGTCAATAAATAAACACCGTTTACTGTTTTCCAGGTATACAGTGGTGAGCTCAGGGAGACTGTTTAGACATTTTTCTAAAATATATTCCTATAAAGATATATTTTTACAAAAATGTATGCATTAAGTTTTAGGGCAAAATAGAAGAACTAAAATAGTAACTATTAGAAAATATGTGAGAGAGAAGTGCTTAGGTGGCTCAGCTAGTTAAGTGGCTGACTCTTGATTTCGGCTCAGGACATGATCGCAGGATCATGGGATTGAGCACTGTGGAGCTCCGTGTGGAGCTCCTCTCTCCTGCTTGTGCTCCCTCTACAGTAAAAAATAAAATGAATAAAAAATACAAACAAAAATCCGAAAGGGCAAAAGAATAGCCTCATCTTCAAAGTAAGAAATAAGATGGTCTCAAATTGATAAAACAAGGATTAAAGTGAAAATACATCATTTAGAACTCTGGAGCACTAAAAATGGACTAACAGGGGTAGGAAATGTATATGTATTACTTGAATAAAAACTGAAAAGGGAAAAAGATAAAATAAGTTAATAAGTATTTAATTTAGTAATATTATATTCTAATGAACTGTGTGACATCTTTTTGAGAATTTAAGGTTCTATAATTTTTTATAGTTTATTTATTTTTGAGACAGAGCATGAATGGGGGAGGGGTAGAGAGAGAGGGAGACAGAATCTGAAACAGGCTCCAGGCTCTGAGCTGTCAGCACACAGCCCGACGCGGGGCTCGAATCCATGAACCGTGAGATCATGACCTGAGCCGAAGTTGGATGCTTAACTGACTAAGCCACCCAGGTGCCCCGAGAATTTAAGGTTCTAGAAAGGACATATACCTTCTTCTTGTCTTTCTGCTATAACATATTTTCAGATTCTTAAGCATTTCTAAAGCTAATAGAAAAGTCTATTTATGCCTTTAAAATTCCAAAAGAAATAAGTCTCTAAACTATTCTAAGGGATGCCTAGTTGGCTCAGTTGGTTAAGCATCTGACTCTTGATTTCAGCTCAGGTCATGATCTCACAGTTCATGAGATCTAGCTATGCGCTGGGTTCCACACTGGCAGTGTAGAGCCTGCTTGGGATTCTCTCTCTCTCTCTCTCTCTCTCTCTCTTCCCCTGCTCATGTGCTTGCTCTTTCTCTCTCAAATAATATATTAAAACAACAACAACCCCAAATATCCCAAAACCAAGAGACTATTGAACTGTTATAAGAGAAAACTCAATTTTAACTATTTGCTTAAAGTACCTGACATTTCATATTTACAGTTTTAAGATTTGTTCAGAATAATAGCTTAGGGTCCATGCAATAAACATTCAAATAGTTGACCTAAGGTGAATTTATACACAGAATTATTAAGCCATAGAGGTCAAAGAGCACATGACATACAAAAGTCATCAAAGGGGCACCTGGCTGGCTTAGTCGATAGGACATATGACTCTTGATCTCAGTGTTGTGAGTTCAAGTCCCATGTTGGGCATAGAGCTTACTTTAAAAATAAATAAAAATTAAAAGTAAAAAAGAAAAAGAAAAGTCACTGGAAAACCCTGAAGGAGGTAAATGGCATTGAACAATTCTAATGGATTAGTTAGAGGTCATTCTTCTAGTCAGTTTTTCAGTAAAAAATGAACATTTTATTCTTTCTAAGAAACAAGATCTGGGGCACCTGGGTGGCTCAGTTAAGCATCCAACTTCGGCTCAGGTCATGATCTCGTGGTTTGTGGGTTCGAGCCCCGTGTTGGGCTCTGTGCTCAATGCCAGCTCAGAGCCTGGAGCCTGTTTCAGATTCTGTCTCCCTCTCTCTCTGACCCTCCCCTGCTCACGCTGTTCTCTTTCTCTCTTTCTCAGAAATAAATAAAACATTAAAAATTTTTTAAAAAAGAAACAAGATCTGGTATGTTAAAATATTATGACATATGATCAAAAAGAACTCCTTGGGACACCTAGTTTCCAACTTTAAAAATGCCACTGGAATAGACAGTTATAAAATGACATTTCCTAGCTTGTTTTTTACTTCCAGTTTTCTCCAGTCAACTGCCATTCTTGATAACAGTATCTGTGTGAAAGACAGTCAACTCTTTTTTTTTTTTTAATTTTTTAATGTTTATTTATCCTTGAGAGAGTGAGAGAGACAGAGAATGAGCAGGGAAGGAGCAGGGCGAGAGAGGGACACAGAATCTGAAACCGGCTCCAGGCTCTAAGCTGTCAGCACAGAGCCCGACATGGGGCTCAAACCCACGAACCGTGAGATCATGACCTAAGCCGAAGTCGGACGCTCAACCGACTGAGCCACCCAGGCACCCCGACAGTCAACTCTTGATTGCTCACTGACCCTAGTTTAAATTTAAATTGATGTGAGAAAATATACTAGCTCCTATTTCCATCATCAAGGTTCCATTGCTGCTATCGGAGAAAGAAAAACCCTCAATTTCAAAGGAGGATGAATGCAATTTCAGTAGCTTTATACAGGTAGCAGGGGAAAAAGAGTAATTCCACTCTTAAAAGCAGAAGGCAACATGCTTTCTGAGTTATATTCCCGTTTGTTCATAGATATGAAGAAATAAATGCTTTCATCTTGCAATTAAAATTTACCAGATTAACAAGTATACTCAATTGCTTGCTATACTCCAAAAGACGTCCTCAAATTTATTCATTTTCAGGGCACTTGGGTGGCTCAGTCGGTGTCCGACTCTTGATTTCAGCTCAGTTCATGATCTCATGATTTGGGAGATCAAGTCCTGCATTGAGCTCCATGCTGACAGCTTGGAGCCTACTTGGGATTCTCATTCTCTCTCTTCTGCCTCTCCCCCACTCATTCTCTTTCTCTTTCTAAATAAATAAATAATAAATAAACTTAAAAACTATTCATTTGCATTCAAAAGGGTTTCACTAATTACCTACAATGAATACTGTAGGTGCTGAAATGTAACAGTAGCCAAGATAATGTAATTTCTTTTAAAGAGGCTAGAGTGCACTAAAAATAAGACAGGTAGTAAAAAAGTAATTAAGGCAAAGCATGATTCACATCACAACACTGGAAATACAGGGTACTATTAAAGCACATAACAGAACTAAAGCTAGTTTAGAAAGTCAGAGGTCTCCTGAAGAATATTTAAATTCAAATCATGAGTAAGACAAAAAGAGGACATTTGGTCTAGTATTTGAAAAATAGTTGCACAACCACAAATCCCCTGATTATGAATACTAATTTTCCCTTTCAATGACAGAAGAAATATGAGTTTCCTATGACTGCCAAAAATGCTTTTAAAAATATTAATTCTATTAGACAAACGTGTTTTAACTGCTTTGCTCTGATTTTTTTTTTAATGCATTCCATCTACTTCACAGTGACTAGTTCTTAGATTTAGTGAAATACTTTGCTTCCTTCAAGGAAAGTCTGTTACAATAATAGTAGTAGTAAAGCATAAACAAGCCACATAAAATTAGAACTTTTTATTATCTAATTTACCTTTACCAGATAATTCTTTTCATCTAGACACCTAACAATGTTTTCACAACATTAGCATAAAAAATAAAAATTGCTTCATCTTAGAAAGAGTAAGTAGCAAGTTTCAGAATTACTGCTTAGAAATTTTAACAAAACACAGGGTGCCTGGATGGCTCAGTCGGTTAAGTGTTGATCTGAGCCCAGGTCTTGATCTCACAGTCGTGAGTTCAAGCCCTGCACAGGGCTCGGCACTGGACATGAAGCCTAGTTAAAAAAAAAAAGAAAACCAAAGAAGGAAAGAAAGAAATTTTAGAACACATTTTGCTTTTTAAAGGTCTTAGCAAAACATCAATTTTGACCAATTTTTAAAGCTTGCTCTGGATATCATTCTTACATGACATAAAACTATATGAAATGAAATTTTAAAGAAAGCAAAACTTTATACCTACTTAGACATTTAAAGGTAGTATATAATTAGTAGCAATTAAAAAAAAAAAAACTTCCAAAAAACCAGACTAGAAAATATTGGGGAGTTAATATTTCAGAGTACCTGTTTTGTTAACTTTAGGTCAAGCACAAATACTTTGAGATGATCAGTTATGGTATAATTCATTTACATAACATTTATAAAATTAAGACAGCATACAGACAAACAAGGCTTCAGGAAAACCATAGAAACTGGGGGCTTTGTAGGGTCAAATTTAACCTACTTTTCTATTAACTGTGATCTTGGTACGGCTTCTTAACTCTTTGCCAGCTCAATTTCCTCACATGTAAAATGGATTTACAATATCAACATTAATGTGAAGATTAAGAACGAGATGCCTGGGTACAAAGTAAGCCCTCAACGCATTATCAATAGCTGAAGAGTTAAAGCCTGAGAAAGATATGCCCTCCCCCATTCCTCCCAAACACTCTCTTACATATCCAGAGGAAACAAGATGCCTCACCTCACTAACAGAAAAGTAGCTAATGATTTCCTTTTTGATCCTGGACTGGGAGAGAAAAGGGGGGGACAAATGACTTTCTGGAGATTGGACCTGGACTGGAATACTAAAGGCTGAAATCATCATCACCAATTAGGAGGGACACTGTAAGTTCTTAAACATTTCTATGACATAATTTACTTCCATTAATCTCATTTAATCTTTAAAATAGCCCTGTGGAGGAAGTATGGTTGGTGTCATGACATATGTTCTTGGCTTTTCTTCTACTCTCATCATTTTTCATTCTTAATTTTTTTGTTGTTGTTGTTGGCTGGGTCCTTATTCTTCATTAAACCTTAATTAGTATGTCCGAGTTTGATACCTCTTCTATTCTCTTCCCACACTCTTTAAGATGTCCCTAGATCTCTTATCCAGTCTCTAAGTTTTAAATGGCATTTATAAGCAGGTGATTACTTTCAAATTAGTTTCTCTAGCTCTAATCTCCCTACTTTCTTTCAAATTCACATATACAACTATCTACTTGACATGTCTGTTTGGACACAATAGATACTGTCAATACCTGCTCGTATTCCTTTGTGATTTCCCTGCTTAAGCCCTCCAATTGCTTCTGATTACAATAAAATCCAAACTTTTTGCCTATGATCCTACATAACGTAGTTACTCTCACCTTCCCAATCTTATCTCCTATCATTCATCCTCCTACTCAAGTTAGAACCACAGTAGGCTTTCTATTCTTCAAATATTTCAAAACTTTTTTCCACCTAAAGCTTTTGCATTGGTCTGTTCTCTTTTGATCTTCAGTTCTTCATGTGAGTAGCTCTTATGTATATATTTTAGGTCTTAGTTCAAACGGTACCTCTTCAGAAAAGCCATTCCTGACACCTAACCCTTCACTTTCCAATGTCTATGGTCATTTAATTATATCACTCAATTTTATTTTCTTCATAGCACTTATAATCTGAAATCATCTTACATGTATGACTCACTCCAACCCTTTGAAAATTAAATATAAGCTCCATGACATACTAGGGATAGTGTTATCCCTAGCACCTAGAGATCAAAGCAAGAATTCAATTATTTATTTATGAATCTGAACTAAGGGCAGAGTATAAACTTGAAATTCAAATTCACATCTATGATTCCAGAGGGCAAGGAACTTTATTCCACAACAGGCTGCCTATTCCAGTAAATGGGCATCCTCTGGGACAGCAGTTGTGGAAGAAAAGTATACAACTGCAGTTTGCACAGATGCATGGTGTTAGATTATCCCACCACTAAAGGTACAGTGGAAAACACAAGCCACCGGCCCTTCTGTAACATATACAAAATAATAATAAAGGAAAATTATTAACTATAAATGCAAGAAACATCGTTTGTTACAGGTAGGTCAAAGTCTTACATAGCACTTGCAGTTCATAAAAGGGAATACAGCAAAATCTGGAAGTCTTTTCTAACTTAGGGTGGTAATCTCATAGGAGTGAGAAACAAAGATGTATGTGGAAGTAAAGTAAGTGACAGGCATTATCTTGGAAATATTCAGAAAGAAGAATCCTAGACTGCCTAAGGAAATAGGTAGGGGGAAAAAGAATCGCAGAAATACAAAGACAAAGAGAATTGTGAAGCAGTTTCCACCTACTTTAATGTAAAAATGGAATTAAAGCATCAAATGAATTAAAACGTTACTACTCTTTCTTTTTTTCATTTTTATTTATTTATTTGAGAGAGAGAGAGAGAGAGAGAGAGCACAAGCAGGGGATGGGCAGAAAAAGGGAGAGAAAGAATCCCAAGGAGGCTCTGTACTGATAGCACATAGCTCGATGTATGGCTTGATCTCTTGAACCGGGAGGTCATGACCTGAGCCAAAATCAAGAGTCAGATGCTTAACCAACTGAACCACCCAGGCACCCTAGAACATTACTATTCTTAAGCTCGTCTTATATCAACACCAGATAAATATTGTTTAGGGGCACCTGGGTGGCTTACTCAGTTAAGCATCTGACTACAGCTCAGGTCATGATCTTATGGTTCGTGAGTTCGAGCCCCACATCAGACTCTCTGCTGTTGGCGCAGTGCCCGGTTGGGATCCTGTGTCACCCTCGTTCTCCACACCTCCCCTGTTCGTGCTCTCTCTCTCTCACACACAAAAATAACATTTTAAAAAACTCACAAGAAATATTATTTGAAGGGTAAATGAGGAGATTGCTGTAATCAATAAAAAAAACAAATCTGTAAGAGTATATAGTATTTATCCAAAGTTTGGAAAAAGAGCTCTTTCAGCCCCAGAACCGTTTTATAAGTTAAAACCAATGTTCTATTAAGGAGGGAAATCACCGCTTATTTAAGAATACCAAAGAACCAGACTCACCGGTCTTCTAAAACTTTAATGGTTTCATGAAGGACTTTTTGTTGCTCTCTCAGCTGTTGATTTTTGGTGAAGAATTCTTCCAGTCTCTGTGCATCTCTAAAAGTCAAGAAATAAGTTTTTTTTTTTTTTAAATCCTAACAGGATAATTTATTGTAAGAATTCCAAAGTATGGCCTCACACTTATGTAACATGTATTTCGTGTATCAAAATAAACAACTTCAAGGGCAAAGTTTAAATATTTTGTTGGGGTGCCTGAGTGGCTCAGTAGGTTAAGCGTCCAACTCCTGATTTTGGCTCACAGTTGTGAGACTGAGCCCTGTGTTAGGCTCCACGCTGGGTGTGGAGCCTGCTTAAGATTCTACCTTTGCCCCTTCCCCTCCCCAACCTGTGCATGCACTTTCTCAAAAAGAATCTTGTTAATCAGACTTCACATTATACTAGAATGTGCTCTGTAGTATTTTTATGTACTATAAAAGTAGTGTCCTAAGTACCAGACATTCATTATACAGTGATGAAACACAGAGAAGGAGTGGATTCTGATGCTATCATTGACTCAATGTTGTCAAAAATGCTATTAAAATGTACATTTACTGTTTTTTATTACTTTGTCTACATTTGTTAATGTAAGTAACAGATATCTCCTCTCATCTATATTTCAATTACAGGAGATTTATACTTTCTACCTTCTTAATTTCTTTGTTGCCTAAACTTCTTATTTGGTATTACTTTTAAGTCAGGGCTTATAGCAGAGTGGAAACACACAAACCCTAGATCCTAATGACTAGGTTTGAGTCTCAGGTCTCATTTGTCAGCTGTGTGACTTAGTGCAAGTAAAAGTGATACTAAAAGAAATAGTATGTATCCAATAAGGCATGCAAGGACTAAGCATTAATATATGTATAGTATCCAGAAAAGTACAATCACATAGTAGGTTCTATTTAAGTGTTTGCCATTGTGATTTTATAATCAGGAAAAAACAAAAAAAATTTAAATTATTTTATTATTTTATTTATTTAAAAAAATTTTTTTTCCCTGAGAGAGAGAGACCACATGAGCAGGGGAGGGTCAGGGAGAGAGGGAGACACATGTGTCAAATCTGAAACAGGCTCCAGGCTCTGAGCTGGCTGTCAGCACAGAGCCTGACGCAAAGCTCGAATCCATGAACCGTGAGATCATGACCTGAGCCGAAGTCGGATGCCTAACTGAATGAGGCACCCAGGCGCCCCTATTATTTTATTTTTTTAAATGTATTTTAGAGGGGCGGGGGAGAACGAGTTAGTGGGGGAGAGGGACAGAGGAGGGAGAAAGAGAATCTTAAAACAGGCTTCATGCTGGGCATGGAGCCCAACATGGAGTTCGGTCCCATGACCCTGGGATCGTGACTTGAGCCAAAATCAAGAGGTGGGCACTCAACTGACTGAGCCACTCAGGCACCCCTAAAATGGTTTTCTAGTAGATTACCTGATTACTTTCCAAAGTAGTGTCATAGTCCACCCTTCCATCATATTTTTAAAAATCAAATTATTATATAAATTATGCATATAAATTAATTCTAAGAAAACCCATTAGAAATTTGATTGGGATTTTCTATATGGTCTTGAAGCTGAAAAAAATACTTGTGATTGAAACATCTCCCGAAATCCCCTCAAGGGTCTAACATAACAAATTATGACAAACCAGTCCACTACAAAAAGGAGATGTCAAAACGGCTAGAATGTAGTATCACTGGCAGCAAAACAGATAAGTCACACAACTAAGTAAAAATGTCAGATACCCAATATAGAGGGTACTGCATAGATACTGGTTGAGTAATTGATATTGAATAAAAAATGAAAAATCAACACACCCCAAAGTAACAGCCTACTGCACAGAATTCTGGTAGCATTTGTAGACATCTGAAATTTTGGAAATAATAAGTGACAGCTGAAACTCATTAATTTGGCTGTTTCTTAATTAAAAATGATTTTCTAATATTTCTAGAAAATGTATTTAATTCAGAAGCAGTACCAATCTTTCATTAATCCTGCTTTGAAAGTATACAAAAAATATAACCAAATTAAAAACTTGTGAAAGTTTGGGGGAATAATTAAAGACATTTTCTAAGTTAACTGATTAGCTGCCAATACCTATTTAAATGTAGCATTTAATCTAAATGATCTATATCATAAAAATACAGCCAAATATTATATTCCAGATTCACATATTGAAGAATTACACACACACACACACACACACACACACACACACACAGAAGGAAAAGTTCATAGAAAAAGGCTTTTTTCTTAAATTATGAACAGAAAACATTTTATTAAAAAAATTTTTTTAATGTATAATTATTTTTGAGAGAGAGAGACAGAGAGAGAGAGGGTGCGCGCACACACACGAGCGAGCAGGGGAGGGGAGAGAGAAGGAGACGCCGAATCCAAAGTAGGCTCAGACTCTGAGCTGTCCACACAGAGCCTAATGCAAGGTTTGAACTCATGAACCATGAGATCATGACCCAAGCCCAAGTCATATGCTTAACTGACTGAGCCTCCCAGGTGCTCCATAAGAGAAAACTTTGTAAAAATAACGTGATGTCTGATTTTCCTACATCTACATATTCTATTCCTGTCTATTTAGAATGATTCAGAACATAAAACTAAATAGACTGATGGCCTATGTTAAAATTAAAACTAGCCTCAATTACTTACAAAATATGCATGTCAACTCAGTGGTAAACATAACAGGGTTGTACTAATTGCAGGAACAATTTAACAAATTCCTTAAGAAAGCAAATTGATAAATTCTAAATGGTACAAAAAAGAATCACATAATTTCATAAATTTTTTTTTTTATATTTTTATTTATTTATTTATAGGAGAGAGAGAAAGAGAGACAGCGTGAGCAGGGGAGGGTCAGAGAGAGAGGGAGTCACAGACTGAAACAGGCTCCAGGCTCTGAGCTGGCAGTCAGCACAGACCCCGATGCGGGGCTCGAACCCACGAACCGCGAGATCATGACCTAAGCGAAAGTCGGACGCTTAACCGACTAAGCCACCCAGGCGCCCCAGAATCACATAATTTCAAATAAAAATTAAGAATGAACTGCATTGTAAGCTACATTTACCTTGGACCTCATCTAAAGGAGGTTAGTAACTATGGTACAAATAACCAACCTCACCCAATCTAAGGTAAGCTCAATGTATCTACCCCATAGGCAGCTTCTTACTAGATACTCAGTATCATTGACCTGACAGGTAGCATTCTGTCTTTCTGAGATAAATGAACATCTTAGATAAATGGCATGTAAATAATAGCTGGTGTGTAAAAGTGGATAAATCTTGTATATGAAAACGTGACTATAAAATGACAGATAACAAACCCTCCCATATAATACATACGTCAGTCTTTCCATTAGTTTAAAATCAATGCCATATACTGGAGAGGTAGAGAAACACTATAGGGAGTGAAATTGTTACTAGCATCCTAATATGATTCACACCTTAAATTTACTACTCAGAAAAGCCTTATTTAATTTCCTCTATAGGAACATCTCTCAATTGTGAGAACTAAACACAAGAAACAGAGAAATGGATTCTATGCTTAGGATACTTAAAATGACATCTGTAAGGCAGGAATCTATACACTCTCAATAATGCAAAGCTTTATGTATCACTAATTAAATAGGATCATAAAACCATTCTTCAATAAAAACCAACCCTGTTTTATAAATTTATGGGTTTTTATTTCTTAATCTAATCTCCCAAACATGATTTTCTAGGTGTGAAAGGAACTTTCTAATTTTTATTTTTAGATCATAATTGAGAAAACAACTGGGTGTGTCTTGACGGGTGACTGTTAACTCCAGCTTTTGGTTAGAGCCTTGGAAACTCTAGGAATATGAAATAACTGAGGCCCATTGGCTTATACCATAAAGGAAATGCAATATTAGTCACAATGACACAGGGGTGCCTGGGTGGCTCAGTTGGTTAAGCATCCGCCTCTTGATTTTGGCATAGGTCATGGTCACAGTCGTGGTACGGAGCCTTGTGTCAGGATGGAGGTTGCTTGGGATTCTCTCTCTCTTCTTTCTGCCCTGCCCCCATTTGCGTAACTGCGTGCAATAATATTCTATAATAAAAACAATAATTTTCTATGATGCCATCTGTTTCAGATTCCTGAATGTGGAAGCCCTAAAGAACCATGAACAAAATTTGCTTCAGACTTAGAAAATCAGATCTGATTCTGGGCTTAATAACAAACAATTCAGGGGAATTTCTGTTAATTTCAAACTAGTTAAAAGGGGTCTCATTTCCTCCCATTTCTTTTTTTTTCCCCTAAGATTTTAAGTAATCCCTACCCCCAACGTGGGACTTGGACTTACAACCCCTACACAAAGAGTCACATGGTCCACCGAATGAGCCTGCCAGGACCCCCTAGTCCCATTTATCAGTTCAGAAATCCCGGAATTATTCTCTTCCCCTCTTGCAGTATCTTAAATCCAGGTGTTAATCAGAGATGAGAAAAGAGAAACAATGACAGATCAAAATGAATTCATAGACGAGTTCCTGTCTTAATAAGTACTTTATGGAAAAAGATTATATGTGTATATATCCACATGTATGTGTGCATATATAAAAAGTTATATTAACATATAAATACATGTGAATATTAACTAAGAATATACTAAAAATTAAGTTATTCTTTTTACCTAAAAATTTGAAAAACTCATGGTCAACTATTAAAGGTCCATACTATAAAACTAATTTTTTCATAAATAAGATACTGAGGTCAAATAGGACATTAGTATCAATTAATTTAAAAACAAGAAATCAGTGTTATACACTGGTACTTACAAAATTCGTTCCTTTTTCAGTTTTGTTACTTTTACTTGTAAACCTGAAAAATAAAAAAAACCCACAGTATTTTATTTATACATTTTCCATTTCTAAAGCAGCTGATCTGAGTATCCTTATGAGTCTAATGCTTCACTATTAAGTTACTTGACTGGGCTCTGAATAATAAGCCAGGTCCCATTAGCTTGGAGAGTGTATTTCCCTTACTTGTACCCTGAGGTCACAAAAGTATATCTGCAACATTACTGCTTTTAGTCTATTACATGACAGCTAAGTAGAATGAAATTTTCTCCACCTAAAGTGAGTTACTTCCTTCATAATAGCAGGGGCAAGCATATAATTAGAGGTTCACTATAAACGAAGGTCTATGTTCTGACATAGCCTATGCATTTGCTAACAGCAATCGTGCTTATGTAGGCTCAAATCTTCTGGGATTAAAATAGATTATGGCAGGAAGTCCTGGATGAGGAGCAAAATTTCTTACACTAAAGTACTTAATGAAGGACACTCAAGATAGCTGTTATATGTATTTCTTATTTTAACTGGGTCTGACACAAAACATTAAGAAAAGACCCCTGCCTATGGGACGCAGGTAGTTATCGTGAAGAAAGCAGGCTGAAGGGCACTGAAACTGCAAGGAAAGATATGGACAAAATAGAGTGACATTTCCAACTTTTGTAAACAATAATTAACAAAAGGAGAAAAACAGTCATTTAACAAATACAAAAATCTATTCAAAATTACTAGCAACTAAATATAAATTCAAACCAAAACAATTACTTAGCAAAATTATGAAGGCTGTGATACCCAATATGTTGATAAAAGTGCTGTAAAACTATACTCCCATACTTGCTGGAGATATTATAAATGAATAAAATTCTTTTGGAAACAATTTAGTAATATGTAATAGGGCTCTTTCATCAATATCTCATTTCCTGGATTCTAACCTAAAAATATACTCCAAACTATAGAGAAAGTCATTGTCACAAAGGATATTGAACAGTTTATAGCAATATAAACTGCTTAAAATAGGGATGTTTAAGTAAAGTATGATATAATCACTTGATGGAACAATAGTTATTAAAATCATTAAGTGAAAAAAATTGTCAATTTAGCAACACTAAACTATTTGGTTTTCTATTTTCTCTATGACCTCTATTTGCTGCAGTATGATTATCATAAAGGGAGGAAAATGATTCTCTGTTTAATATTTCTGATCCATAGATCAATCTTTTTACTATTCTACAGTTTTCCGAATTGTGGATATTTTACTTATTTTTTAAAATAATGTTTACCAAGTTTAGAAGTTCTGTATCTACTCAAAAATTTCTCTTATTTGGGGTAGGGTTAGTCCCCAGTAAGTAGGTATTAGTTGACTAATTTTTGAAAAATCAAAGATTTACTCTTTGCCTTCAGTAGTTTATCTATGGATTCTAATAAGTTACACATTTAGAAAAACTTTCCATATAATGTACATAGAAACATTAATACATTTGTTATTTCTAAGAACAGGACTTTTTATTATCAGTTTAATTTAGGACAAGATTCAAAACCACAGAATTTAAACAAATAAGAGTTTTAGAAAACATGTACATTTCCCCACCAACCCCCTCCATGCTGCTGACTAGGGATGAGGTTGATAGGATGATATAAATACTGACAGGAAAGCCACCTCTTCTTATTATCCGAAGTAGTAATGACTTGCTGCCAGGAAATCCAGATACCATAAAAAAAGAAAGGCCTTGGACAACTGTTTTGCATTAGACTTTTGCCCCATTTCTCAAATTTCACTCTGGAAATGTCCAACTGATATAGAGGCCAAAATGTGAATAAACAAATATTATGAATTGTGAAAAAATGTTATAAATAATCAAATACTCAAAGCATGGGGCGCCTGGGTGGCTTAGTCGGTTAAGCGTCCGACTTTCGCTTAGGTCATGATCTCGCGGTTCGTGGGTTCGAGCCCCGCGTCGGGCTCTGTGCTGACTGCCAGCTCAGAGCCTGGAGCCTGTTTCAGAGTCTGTGACTCCCTCTCTCTCTGACCCTCCCCTGCTCACGCTGTCTCTCTCTCTCCTAGAAATAAATAAAAAATTTATAAAAAAAGATCATTTTTCAAATACTCAAAGCAGCTTTATTCATAATTGCCCCAAATGAGAAACAACCCAAACATCCTTTAACAAGTGAACTGTTAAAACACAAAACAAAAACAAACCAAAAAAACCTGGTACGTACTTGTAGCATATGTACTTTTCATCAATAAAAAGAAATGAACTATTGATACATGTAACAACTTGGATGGTTCCGAAGGAAATTATGCTGACTGAAAAAAGCCAATCACAAAGGGTACATCCTATGTGATTCTACTTACATAACTAACATTCTTGAAAGGAAAAAAATTATAAAGAACATATTACGGGTAGCCGCAAATTGGACGGGTTGGGATGGGAAAACGGGCTGAGGGCTTAAAAAAGTGGCGTGTGCGATCTTTGGTGGTAGTCATAGCCATCTAAAATAAACCCCGTGGAAGTGAGTGCATATAAAATTGGGGGTATCTGAATAAGTTTGGTAAACTGTATCAATGTCAATTTCTTGTTCCTGCTATTGTACTAGAGTTGTAAAAGATGCTCCCACTGTGTGAAACTGGGTAAAGAGTATAGGACAGTTCTTCGTATATTTCTTAATATGTAATTTCATGTCAATCTACAATAAGCTCCAAATAAGAACCTAAAAAAATTATGGAAAAAGATCTGCCCTAATAGTTGGAAAATCATTAAAATATAAAACATAAAAGGAAAATATTTTAATGTCAAGAATAATAACTGGTATGCTCTTTTTTTAAAAAAAAAAAATCTTTTCCAACTATCGAGTTCTAGGCTGAGAAGTTGCCTTCTTTTTCAGGTAATGACAAATTCATGAAAACTTGAAAGTACTTAGTAAAGCATCAAATCATTCTTGAAAAATTAAGAAAATGTTATGACCTGATGAGGCCAAAGACTAGAGTCAGCAGTTTTTTACTCTCTTCCCAAAGTGTGTGAAAATTTACTTATTGATAGATTTTGTTTTTAATTTTACTTGACTTCTAAAACTCAATGCAGCCAAAGATGAAATGGATTATCGCTATGACCATTTTAAGAAAAGAAACAATGATAGAAAATCCATATAAACATCAAAAGAAAATTCTTGGGAAATATGGAAAGGGTACTCTTTTATCTTGTAAGCATTCAACACCTGTGAGGCATTTGTTCTGTCACGCAGATCAGCCCCGAAACAGGTTTATGTGTGTATGTCTATGTGTGCGTGTTTAAATTTTAGCGTTTGCTATTCATCAAGTCAATTAGGCATCTACAATTAGAACCCCTATAAAGTGTGCTTTAATCCTGCTCCACACCCATCGGAAGGAATGAGGCTATACAACAATGTAGCTCCTGTATGAACAGGTAGTCTGTTCAACAAAGTATTTGGGATTGTAACATTGGCAACCTGAGATATCTATTGAGGAAACAGCATTCACAAGACTAAGGGCTGTACTACAAATTAACCCTATTCTGGCTAACATATGAATACTGGAGGAAATGAAACAATTAAGGACCCTTATGTGTAGTTATAACACATGAAACAAATTTATTTTTTATGTCATTTTTAAAATGTTTTTTATTTATTTGTTTGAGAGAGAGAGAGAGAACTAGCAGGGCAGGGACAGAGAGGGAGACACAGAACCTGAAGAAGGCTCCAGGCTCTGAGCTATCAGCACAGAGCTCAGAGACCTATGTGGGACTTGAACTCATGACCTGAGAGATCATGACCTGAGCCGAAGTCGGATGCTCAAATGACTGAGCCACCCAGTGAACCACCCACATGAAACAAGTTTAAATAAGAATTCAGAAATGAGGCAATAATTCATTATAAATAAAATAAAAATCACTGCTATGTTTTTACTTATTTTAGTTCTCTACCCAGAACAGACCATATATGTAGTGTATGTACTGTCATTTTAAAACAAGTTATCTATGGTTTTGAGTAAGCCTAGTAACACCTTTCTTGACAAATAGTGGCTTTATGTATACAGCTCAAGTAACTTAACTTCTACCGAAATATTACCACTGGTATTTCTGTAAGGACCTAATAAATTACTTTAATTCCAAAGTGAAAACTCTTGTCTTTTATAAGATGCTTAGTTTGCAGGGCACCTGGGTGGCTCAGTCAGTTAAGCGTCTGACTTCAGCTCAGATCATGATCTCTCAGTTTGTGGGTTCAAGCCCTGCTTGAGCCTGCTTCGAATTCTGTGTCTCCCCTTCTCTATGACCCTCCCTTGCTCACGCTCTTTCTGTTTCTCAGTAATAAATGTTTTCAAAAAAAGATGCTTAGTTTGCTCTTAAATTTTAATTATCTCAAAATGGGTAAATTAATTTTTGTGGACTCAGCTGAACTTATAGATGTTAATACAAATGGAAAAATAATAGATAGGAGAGTTACTGATAGTATTAACAATGAGTATGACTCTGATGTCATGGACCAAAATGACATGCAATTCCTCTCAGTTAATTATGTAGTCTTAATATGAATGTTATCATTTAGGAATTTTGATGAAACATCTGAGAAAATAAACAACCCTAAACTGAATCAAGAAGTATTTATTGTGTTTCTTCAAAGAGGTCCTAATTTTGTCTAGAAAAATCTGTCTAGTTTTTTAAGAAACTGGTTGTCATATTTATCAGATACAGAAAATATTATTAGACGAGATGCTGATAATAGAACCTGGCATGAACAAGAGACCATTTACTAAAATGGTGACATTCTGGGGAGCCTAGCTGGCTCAGTTGGTATAGCGTATGACTCTTGATCTTGGGGTTGTGAGTTTAAGCCCCACATTGGGCTTAGAAATTACTTAAAAATAAACACCTTTAAAAAATAAAACTGTGTTTTGAAAAATAAACATCCTAAATTCTATTTTATTACTTGTGCTTTTAAGTAATAAAAGTAATCAAGTAATAAACAATATTGATAGAGATTTGAAAAGGCAAAAAAACAAAAATTGTATCCAAT